AAGGTCTTACTAAGTGCCTACTATGTTTTAGGCACTGTGCTGGATGCTGAGAATACAAGATAAAAATGTTCCTGCCCTCAAGAAGCTTAAATCTTGGGGAGAAACAACATGCATATAGGTAAAAACAAAATGTATACAGATAAACATGAAATATTTTGGGGTGTGTAAAGCAGCGGTGGAAAACATTAACAATGGATTCAATAAGAATAGTCTCCTGTAGAAGAAGCACTTAGGCTTTGAAAGGAGAAAGTGATTCCAAAAGGAAGAGGTGATGAGGGAGAGACTTCTAAACACAGGGTACACACAGCTTGTGTAAATAGAAGTGGGAGATCGAATGTTGTATGTGAGGTATATCAAGTTGGATTGCTTGACTAGAATGTAGAGTATTTGACAGGGAATGAAGCAAAACCAACCTGGAAAGGTACAAGTAAGATTGTGGAAGGATTTAAATATCAAAAAGAAGAGTTTGTATTTTATCCTAGAGACAATATTTACTGAATCTTCTTGAGAAGAGGAATAATGTGGTCAGATCTATGCTTTAAGAAAATCAATTTGACAATTTAATGAGGATGGCGGCTGTATGAATGAAGAAAAGATAGTGGATGCAAGTTATGTTGTATAATCAACAAGGCTGGATAAGGGGAGTGAAATAGAATGAGGAGTTGAGGATGACTTTGAGATTGTGAACTTGAGCAACTGGAAGTATTATCCTCTGCAGGAATAGAGATGTTAGAAAGTGGTGATTTTAGGGAAAAGAAAATGAGTTTAATTTTGTACATACTTAGTTTGAGATGTTTAAGGAAAGGCTGGGGGAAGATGTCCAGTTTGCAATTGGTGGTGGGTAGATGGAGTCCAGAAGAAAGATTAGAGATAGGTATGTAGATTTGAGAATCATCTGCACAGAGATAATAATTTGATCAATAGGAGCTGATAAGATGAGAGAGAGAGAAAGAGAGATTTCCACTGGGGTGCTGAGAATTTTTTTTTAAAAGGGGGTGGTAGGCCAAATAAATTTGGGAGCCTCTGACTTAGAGCTTGGTCAGAAATAGAAGACATCAAAGTCATCTGCTGCATCCCAGGCCATCGACTTTTGTCTTGCCACTGGACTTTCTTGACTTTGGAAAAGAGTGAGGCTAATGATTTTTTGCAGTTCTGCCTTAATTAAATCCAATTCACACACTAGTCAAGACATCACCTGTGTTGTCATTATACTCTTGAAAATGAAGGACAAACAACAACAGTAACCATGGGTCCCAACTTTGGACTCAAGCAAGTACTGAATGGGAAGTCCCAGTAGGAAGAACTACCCACTGAATAAACTTTAAAAGGAGAAAAAAATTCTTCTCTCAATCTCTTCTTCCTCTCATTAGAATGTGTACCCATATGTTAAAAACAAAGAATGATAGATTATAACTTCACTTGAAGAAATAAAATCTAAATGAGTCTCTATATATCTATCATCTATATAATTTTTGCTCATAATAGAGAATTAAGCATTAATATGAGTATAGATAGCTGTTTCTATAAACAATGCTTAGCACATAGTAAGTAAATGCTTGATAAATGCTTTTTCATTCATTGTCATTAATTCATTGGGCAAAAAACAGGGAAGGTAATAGAAGACAGTAAAGACTGAAATGCAGAAAATGTGTACCTTTAAAGAGTTCTTCAATTAAAAAAATTCACAAAGGAAAGACTGATGAGGGTAATCTTAAAAATAGTTTTAGTTAATGAGGCTATTTTGAAGTTTAAGTCTGAAGGGACTGCTTTATAGACACATAATATAATGGAGAGAGTACTTCCTGTAGTAAGACAAACACTTATTTTTATACTGCAGCTTAAAAATGATAATTGGATTTTGTTTTCTTTTTCTATCTACCTTCAAGTTTGGTTTACAGAAAATTGAAGTTAAGGAAATTTGTGTTAGTTAAAGAAGTTTTTAGGCAAACATTGTCTGTTAGTCCTCCAGAATTTTCCAGATAAACATGTAAAACCATATATTACAAATACAGTTATTACTTATGATCACACATTAATCAACAATTATGAAGAATTCATTCCATTTTAAAGTATAGTAGATAACAAATTCAATTAGAAATTTAGAACTAGTATTAGAATTTGGGGCATCTGCCTTCTTTAATGATTCCATTTTTTTGCCATGATATCAGTGGAGGTCACACTGAGGCATTAGTGCCTCTAATGCATCTTAGGTAGTGAAAATTTCAATAGGATTCGCATACTTGGGAAGGCTATAGATATTGTTTCTGTACATGGAAAACTACCTGTTGAACAGCTGAATACAGAAGGGTTGGTTCTAGAGACAGTGGCATGAGATAGATTGCTTTTCATTTCATATTTCTCTGAATGGAAATATGGTTTTTCTGGATGGAATCTATTGAAGAGTAAGGATGGCCCTAGTTGTTGGGTGAAAATAACTGAGAATAACTCTCTTTTGAGTAGCATGAAGAAATTATTTGTCTCATTAGTAGGGAAGGAATCTGGAATTTAGGAAAATTAATTTGAAGCTTTGTGACAGATTGCTATCACATTAGAGTTGTTTTCTCTACAAATTCTATGAGTAGTGATGAGAAAGAACAAAATTAAAAAAGGAAAATTTCAAACAGGTGTTTTCCCTCTTCTGTCTGAAAATATGCCTTCCTGCTAACATTCTGGCATGTTGGGATCTTTGGGTGAGCAAAATGTAAGTATGAGCCTTGAGAAGGAAGTGTGAAATAAAATTAATTATCCAAGTTATATATATACATATATATATATATAGACATTCTATAGACATTCTAGTCAGTTGTTTGGGTCTGCTCTATACACATCAAAATGCCTTTGCACTGTGGAGAATACTGAAGTATGGTCCTTACCCTCAAGGAATTTCCAATCTCAAGAGGAAACATGATTAAAATATATATTTTGATTAGTGAACAATATGGTAAATGTTAAATTTCCTTGTGTTGAATAAGTCACTTCCCCATTCTGGGCTTGTTTCCTCACTGAAAAGGGTGTTGGACTAGATATTTTTCATTAATTTTGTTTCAATTAACAAACATTTTTGTCTCTTTCCCACATTCTTTCCTCTCCCTGTTCCCTACTGAAAAGAAAAAGAAAACCCTTGTGACAAATATGCAGTTAAGGAAAATGCATTTCCTTATTGACCATGTCCCAACATATATGTCTCATTTTACATCATGACTATATCACCCTGTCCGGAGTCAGCTTCCTGGAATTGTACGTGGTTGGTTATTGTATTGATCAGTCTATATGATTTTTAAGGTGCCTTTCAGTTCTAAGTTCTGTTTCTAAGTTTGAGTTAAAAGATAAAAAACATGCTATAGAACAATGCTCCCACACAACTCCCACTCCTTCCTCTAGGAAGCATAATGTGTGACAGTTATGAAGAACAACGAGCTATGTGTTGTGTTAATTAATACCAAGACATACTGTACTGTTAACCAAGCACACCTTATTTTTATTTGATAGAAACCCACTCGTTGTCTGCCTATATGTTGTCTCTTGATAACATAAAGCTTATGAATTTACTGCACAAAGGAGTCATAGATTTTGATGTTGGAAGGGGCCTTAAAAAGATATTTAACCCAGGTCTTTTAATTTACAAATGAAGAAGCCGAGGCTAAGAAAAGTTTAAAGTACCTTCCCTCAGTCACATAGGTAGCCTGTCGAAGTCAGAGATTTGAAATGGGATATAAGATTCCTGACTAAATCTAGCCCTCTATCCATCTTACTGGTATGTGTAACCACTAAGTATTCTTAATCTCCTGTTTCTGTAATAAATAACAGCTAACATTTATATAATCACTTTAAGATATATAGAGCATTTTACATACATGATTTCATTTTTTCCTTACAAAAACCTTGTGAGGGAAAAGCTATTATTATTCCCACTTTACAAATGAGAAAACAGAGGCAGTCAAGGTTAAGTATCTCTTTTTACCAACCAAATTTTCATTTGTCAAATATTCAGGTTTATTTGTAAACATCCTTGCTGAAAAAGTAGCCCTATCTCACTAGCCTCTCCACGAAGTTTTTGGGAAACTCCTTGTATTCTTGCATTTTTTTTTTGGACGAATCGATTAATCGGCAAGCATATATATCTTATCCACTATGTCCCAAGCATTGTACTAGACAGATAGCAGGGGATAAAAGGACAACAATGAAAGAGCCCTTGCTCTCAAGGAACTTCATTCCGTCCTACTCTTACATATTAAAGTGTATACAAAAGAACATACAGTGCTTTAAGATTTGCAGAGTTCTTTTTACATATACCCAAAGGGTATATATACCCCAAAGGGTCTTGAATTGCACCAAGACTTTTGGGACACCCTGAATCAACTCATTCGATCCTCACAACAACCCTACGAGGTACAGGTGTTATTATGATCTATTTTAGATGGGTTAAGTGATTTGACCACCATCAGATCATACAGCTGACTATTGTCTGACTCCCAAGTTTAGCACTCTATCCACTACTCTACTTTTTTTTAATTAAAAAAAAAATCGGGGGGGGCAGGGAAATCGGGTGAGACCTGAGGTAGATGTGACAAGAGAGCTGAACTCTGAAGGAAACTAGGGATGAGTGAATAGGACCTAAAGGATCCTAAAGCTGGGTGACTGTGGGATCTGGCTTGTCTCGTGTGTGTGTGTGTGTGTGTGTGTGTGTGTGTGTGTGTGTGTGTGTGAACACGGAAGGAACCCGTCAAGTCTAGCCATGGCTGGTAATAAGTTCCATTCTCGCGGCCACAGCCCACGCCACGGAGAAGCCACCACCAAGGCAGCTCCTCCTCCTCTAGGTCCTTCTCCCACTCTTACCCAGCAAGACTCTAACCTCCATCTGGAAACTAAGGGGCTCTTAAAAAAAAAAAAAAGAAAAAGAAAAAAAAAAAGAGTCACTAAGCATGCGCATGTTCCCCCCTTTCCCCCCCCCCCGCCCCCAGCGGCGCATGCTCAGTAGCTCAGGCAGATTCCAGATGAGGACGGCAGCGCCTCGTCCTGACCACGGACAGCGCGGAGGTCTCGCTGGGGCAGGAAGTGAGTCTGCTCAGTGAGAAGGCGGCGGCGGCCGAAGCGTCTGAGAGCCCCGGGGTCTCGGACCCTCCTGCCCCCTGGCAGCCCTTTCTAGTCCAGGAGGTTCCTGCAGACGGGCAGGGATGGATCTTCACAAGCCGATGGCTACTCGCCGCTACCAAGTGGTGAGTGAAGCCGACCCTCTGTCACCTCCGGGGCGAGCTCTCGCCTCGGGAGCTGTCCCCCCCAAGCAGGGCCGCGCAGCTGGAGGAGGCGCTGCCCGTCCTCGCCGCGGGGAGCCCGTGCTGGGCTCGGGGCTCGCCCGGGGAGCTCGCGCTCGCGCGCTCTCTCGCCCCCCCCCTCCGCCCCCAAGCCCGCCCCCACCCCCTCCCCCGCCTTGAAATCAGTTTTCGTTTCTCCGGCTCCTTCCCTGCCTGCCCAAGACTTGGGTGACTCCGGCTCTTGGGGCTCCCTGCGGATGGACTTCCTCCTGGAAAGGCGTTCTGCATTCGGGGAACTCCAGGGAGGACTGGGTGGGGGCGGGCAGGTACGTGGGCAGCGGAAGCTGGGTGGGGGGGTAGTGGAATTTAGTAAACATCTGGGTTGAGCTTTTGACTTCTGTTTTGGAGCATTTTCTCCCCTTCGGAGTTGTCCGGCACCGATTCTGACTCTGCCTTAACCAGATTGTGGACTTTGGAGTTAGAAAGACCCGGATTCGGAATCCGGCCATTCATTGACACTTGCCAGCTGTGCGATCGTGGGCACAGGTCCTCAGTGTCTCTGAGCCTCATTTCCCTTATCTGTAAAATGGACCAGTTATAGTCTCCTTCCACTTTAGAAGAGAGGTTATGAGGTCTCAAATGAGAGAAATGTATTTTACTTTAAGTAAACTTTAAAAGAACTATATAAAGACCTATTTTATTTTTAGACTGGACCTGAGATTATTCATTTGGGAGAGGTAGCTCCCACTACCTGTACAGATTAGCAATGTATCTAATCTACAATTTATAGTCTGGAGCAGCAGTTCTCAAACTTCTAGGTCTCAGGACGTCTTTAAATTTTTAAAAATTTCCTCCCCAAGGAGCTTTTGTTCATATGAATTATATATATGTGTGTGTGTGTATTTATCTCATTATAAATGGAAACATTTTAGTATTGTTATGAAAATAGTTTTTATTTAGAGGACTCCCTAGGGTGTCCGGACCACTTGTCTAGAATGACTGATGTAGACTTCTAGTTAAGATTCAGGGAAGTAAATCTCTTCCTCCCCTCAATAACTTTCTTTTTCTTCTCCCTTTCCTTTCACTTTTCCTTTCTGCCTTTCTTTTCCCCTTCCCTTCCTTTCTTCTCTCTTCCCTTCATATTCTTCTGTTTTATACATTGATTTTGTCTTGTGTTGGACATTCTGTAGTGGAGCTATTCCCATCATAGAACCTACTTAAGGGTTGACTTGGACTGATAGTTTTTACTTCTAAATTTAATAACGAACTCAATGTGTTCCATAAACTTTCGAGAGGTTAAAAAGCATTTGGATGGAGGTGGGGCTAGGAGAAGCTGAAATTCCATTACATGTTCTATTGGTTTCTCTTTTGATGCTACAGTAAAGTGAATTGTTGCACTATTCTTAAATCTTTAAAAACCTAGATATGTTTAACATCGTTTATGGGCCTCAAATTTCACCTTTCATATCTACTTGCTCTGCTTCTCTAAGGATTACCCATCTTGTTTCCTTCACCCTTTTAAGGTGTTAGGGCATTGAATCTTCAAGTATGTCTGAATGCTCAAAAAATCGTAAGAATTCATGTTGTAATTGTTTTAATTGTTTTGTGTAAAAGTACACCAAAAAACTTACATGACACTTAAGTTTTCAATAATTTTAAAAATTCTTTTTAATAGTCCAAAAGACCTTCCAAAATTTTTATTGCTACTTGTTTTTGGAGGGCCTTTCTGTTTTGTTACTGAACTTCATCAATTTTAGTATTATACTGTTAAAAATTTTACTCATTTTACAGAAGTTAGCAAAAATACTCTTAAACAGAAAAATAGTTTCCTCCTATTTTTTTCTTTTCAAATTCTTATCTGTCAATCTTAGGAGAGAGGTTGATCTGCTTCAGAGGAGGGACTCATATACTAAAGAAATTAGAGATCTTTTGAAGCATTGAATTAAATAAAGGTAGCAGTAAATAAAGATTCCCCTACTTAGGTGCTTTTTTCATCATCGTCCTTTATAGACTGTCATATAAACAACCTTCATATGCAGGATATAATTCAAAACAAGTTAAATCACTAACAGTGATTACCATCTAAGAACAATTTCTCATAACCCCCATGACTAGTTAATTTCATTTTATTTTTAAGTTCCTGAAACCAAAATACTGATAGCAGATTGTGTACTTTATTTCTGGATTAAGCCTCTTCCCCCTCCCCCATTCTTTTGGAAATATGTGGAAATCATTGTGCTTTATAGTGTCTTTATAATGTTCCCCCCCCAACTGAAAAATTCTCCTATATTTCTCTGCCAAAATGTAGAGACTTTCTTGGTGTTATATTATTAGATACTACTTTTGAAGGTACATGGTTTTCCATGTACTTTCCATGTTTCCTTTCTTTTCGTAATGTTCTACAGTCTGACTTCCCACTTCATTTCACTGAAACTGCTATCCAAATTTACCAGTGATTTCTTAATTGCCAAATATAATGGATTTTTCTCAGTCCTTATCCTCATTAACCTCTCTGCAGCCTGTGAAGCTGTCAATCACCCTCTTCTTCTTATACTCTTTTCTCTCTAGGTTTTCATGACACTGTTTTTTCCTAGTTCTTTTACTACCTTTTAAACTACCCCTCAGTTTCATTTGCTGGATCTTCTGCTAACCATGGATGTTGTCTTGAGTCCTCTACTTTTTCTAATCTGTGTTATTTCCCTTGGTGATCTTATCAGTTCTAGTAGATTCCTTATCATTCCTATGCTGAGGATTCTCAGATCTGTTTATTCAACTGTAAACCTCTTCCTTAACCTAGGGACTCAGATCTCAGCTAGTTGTTAGACATCTTAAATTGGGTGTCCCATAGACATCTTAAAACTCAGTATGTCTAAAATAGAACTCATTGTCTTTCTAACCCACCCCAACCCTCAAGGTCTCCCTTCTTCTGAATTTCCTTAGCAATGTTGAGAGTACCACCATCTTTCCTGTTTTTGATATTAATATTCTTCCAGTGTTGCATTGTTCATAGCAGAAAAGGGTTTAGTAAATGTTTGCTGAATTAAGTTTCAAGCAAATTGGCAGGCAGGTAGGTCGAAGAAAACAAATACCCCCAAGTAACCCAAAGGGACTTACAGCTCATTATTCATTTAAACAAATCCTTTTGCTTTAGCTAGACTGTTCTAAGAACACCTTTTGAGGTTTTATCACCACTGAACCTTTGCTATTTCCTATGCCTGGAATACCTTCCACCATGTTTTCCTGCTTGTTCAAATCCTTTCTATCCTCCAAGACTCTCTTTAATGCTTACCTCCCCTAAGAAGATTTCCCATTTCTTTCTTTCTTTTTTTCTACAAGTATATTTTTAAAATTATTTTTTATTAATTTATTTTGATTTATCACCAATCACTTCCATAAGCTTTTGAGTTTTAAATTATTCTTCTCCTTCCTTCCCCCTCCCTCCCCAAAACATCACGCAATCTGATATGTGCTATATATATATATATATATATATACATTCCTATTAAACATATTTTCATATTAGTGATGTTGTATGGAAGAATTAGAGCCAATAGGAGGAACCACCAGAAAGAGGAAACAAAACACAACAGAAGAAAAAAAATAGCAAATATTATGCTTCTATCTGCATTCAAACTCCATAGTTCTTTTTTTGGATGTGGATAGCATTTTCCATCATGAGACCTTTAGAGATGTCTTACATCCTTGCATTGTTGAGAAGGGCTAAGTCTATCAAAGTTAGTCATCATACAACATGGCTGTTAGCGTGTACAATGTTCTCCTGGTTCTGCTCACTTCACTCAGCAGCAGTCCATACAAGTCTTTCCAGGTTTGTCTGAAGTCTGCCTGTTCATCATTTCTTATAGCATGATAGTATTCCATTACATTCATATACCACAACTTGTTCAGCCATACCCCAGTTGATAGGCATCCCCTCAATTTCCAATTCTTTGCCACCACAGAAAGAGCTGCTATAAATATTTTTGTACATGTGGGTCCTTTATCCATTTCTATGATGTCTTTGGGATGTAGCCCTCGAAGTGGTATTATTGGGTCAAAGGATATGCACAATTTTATAGCCCTTTGGGCATAGTTCCAAATTGCTCTCCAAAATGGTTGGATCACTTTACATCTCCCCCAATAATTCATTAGTGTTCCAGTTTTCTCATATCTTCTCCAACATTTAACATTTTTCTGTTTTGTCAGGTTGGCCAATCTGATAGGTGTGATGTGGTACCTCAGAGTTGTTTTGATTTGCATTTCTCTAATCAATAGTGATTTTTTCATATGACTATAGATGGCTTTAATCTCTTCATTTGAGGATGCCTGTTCCTATCCTTTGACCATTTATCAATCTTATAAATTTGACTTAATTCTCTAAATATTTTAGAAATGAGGCCCTTATCAGAGACACTGATTGTAAAAATTCTTTCCCATTTTTCTACTTCCCTCCTAATCTTGGTTGCATTGGCTTTGTTTGTGCATACTTTTCTTTTCTTAAGTCCATCCTTCATACTAGTCTTTTGCATAGATCTGGTGATATTTTTTTTCTGCTCCTAAGTACAGTGTGACTCTTGAGGCCCTCCACCCTAACTTTACTGTATTTTTTTTTCAACCTTATCTCATACCTGCCACAAACCTTAGTGTCAACTAGATTGCCCATTTTCTCCAAAAATGTTGTGAACTACTCTACTTCCCCTAGACATGTATTAGTATACAGAGTGTACTAAGTGCAGGCAAAGATACAAAGTTTAGATGACATAGCCCTTGCCTTTATAGAGTTACAGTCCAGTGATGGGGTAGGGGTGCTAAGACCTCAGCCCAGATCACTACAGTACACAATATTACATGCCCTAGATTGCTTCAGACAAGTGCTTTAAAGGATATGAAAGAATTCAGAAAAGAGAAGGAGGCCTATCCAGGCATAGAGTACATTGTGAAAAAAGGCAAAGAGGTGGAACTGGTAG